AGCCTCCTGAGTAGCTGGGATTACAGGCACGCGCCACCATGCCCAGCTAATGTTTTGTATTTTTAGTAGAGACGGGGTTTCACCGCATTGACCAGGATGGTCTCGATCTCTTGACCTCGTGATCCACCCGCCTCGGCCTCCCACAGTGCTGGGATTACAGGCTTGAGCCACAGGCTGACAATGCTTTCATTAGGCAAATCACCCAAGCAGTCTCTCAGGCCCTTAGCATTCAATGGAATCTCCATGCCCCTTACCACCCTCAGTCATCCGGAAAAGTAGAAAAAGCTAATGGCCTTCGAAAAACACATCTTACCAAATTCCCTACCTTTAACTAAAGGGGGACTGGATATCCCTTCTGCCTACTGCTTTTCTTCACATTCGTGCCACGCCCCGGGAGCCCACAGGATACAGTCCCTTTGAACTCTCAAAGGGCCACACCTTTCTGCTCGGGCCTCACCTTCTCTCAGACACTAGCCCTCTTGGAGACTATCTTCCAGTTTTCCAACAGACTAGGCAAGAAATTCGCCAAGCTGCTAAGCTCATCCACTCCAGACACCCCGCCTTATGAGGACACCTTAGCCGGTGATCGCAGGTTTAGTCCTTTCAGAGCTCGTTGCGGAATAAGGTATTGGCGTTGTGCTGGGTAGGGGTGATTAGGTCTTAAGGGGATCGTGGTAGGTGCATGGCTGGGTGCTAAGGATGGGGTGGAGGTGTTCCACACCCGTGGGTTTAGGTGGGGAGACGCGATGGGAGGCTGCCAGGTGGGCTTTGGGTCCGGGAAGAAGGCAGCTGTGGGATGTGCTGTGGTCCTGGAATAGTCAGGGTAGCAGATAATTTAAACAACTCGCCCTAATGGGGGGACGGGGCGTGTGGGGATGACCAGGAAAGGGTCAGGAAAGGAGTGTTGTCCCAGCTGACACCACAGTTGGGGGATTTTGAGAGGTTTTGAAGGCTGGCCATCAATTCCCACAACAGTTACGGGAGCTAAGGAAGCAGGCCCTTGGAAGGAAGGCAGAGTGGAGTGGGCATCCCCCGTATCGACTAGAAAGAGGACGGACTTACCTGTCACAGCGAGTTACCCGAAGGTCGGTGTCCATGACGGTCCAAGAGGCTTCCAAAGCAGTTGGGCAGTGTCAATCTTCAGTTGTTAAACCGAGAACTTCTGGAAAGGAGTCAGCTGGACAGTACTGGGTTTGAACTCAGGAGCCTCGGGAGTGGCTGTATTATGAGGTGGACAGTTGGATTTCCAGTGGGGTCCCCCCAGACAGGACACGGCTTAGAAGGGGCCCTGGGCTGTGAGCATTCTGATAGCCCAATGTCCATGTTTTTGGCATTTGAAGCAAGATGGAGCCCCAAGGCTGTGGGCACTCCCTGGCCCAGTGTCCAGTTTTCTGGCGTTTGAAGCAAGATGGAGCCCCAAGGCTGTGGGCACTCCCTGGCCCAGTGTCCAGTTTTCTGGCATTTGAAGCAAGGCCTTGGAGGAGGATGGCTTGATGGAGCACTCGGTGGTGGCTTCGGCGATGCCTGGAAGTTTGTCGTTGTTGAAACAGTGGCTAGTCTTAGCGTGGAGGCAAACCATTGTAGTTCTGAAACGTATTGCTACTTGACTTCCTCCTTGCTATTGTTAAACACCTGGAATATGAGGTTAATTAAATCCTGTTGTGGGGTTCGAGGGCCTGAGTCCAGGTTTTGAAGTTTTTTCCTAATGTCTGAGGCAGATTGGGTAATAAAATGCATATTGAGAATAAGGCAACCCTCCGTGCTTCTGGGTCAGCGTTTCTGCTGGGTGGGCCATGAATTGGGCAGGATTTTCATGTCTGCCCTGGGTTGTTTAAGCTTGTCATAATTAAAAGTTTTATAAGCTGCCTGCTTAAGTTCCTCAACTAAGCAAGAGACCACATAGTCACGTTTAGTGACATCAGGCAAGCCCACCCGAGATTGCCATTGGGGTTCTTCCCTGGGTGCTGTGCTGACGCCCTCTCAGAGGGCGGGTTCATGGGATCTGCGGTGTCAGTGTGAGACTGAACCAGAGTGTAAACCCTATTTCATTCATCTGGAGAAAAAGTAGAGGTCAGAATGACATTTATGTCATCCCGAGTTAAATCATAGGACTGAGTCAGATAGTGGAAGTCTTGGATATATTTAGTGGGATCTGATGAGAAGGATCCTAAGCACTGACCGATATGGGGCACGTTGGACAGAGAAAAATGAACATGCACTTTGGCTACGCCCTCGGCTCCAGCCACCTCCTGAAGGGGAAGCTGTCGGGCAGGGAAAGGAGAGCTAGTTTTAGGACTGAATTGTGCCCCGGAGTGGGTGCGGGATGGAGACGTGACACGGGAGGTATGAGAGGGAGGGGATGGGGCGCTGGGGAGATTAGGGTTCAGTTCAGCCTGATGAGGGACAGCCTGAGGGAGAAGGGAAAGGTCAGAAGGCTCTACTGAGCGTGAATAATCTGCATTGGCCGTTGGGACAGGGGGCATAGATGGGAGAGAAAGGAGGAGAACTTGAGAGGCGTCACACTGGGAACAGAGGCTGGGAAGGGAGCGAGTGTGAAAAATGCCCAGACGTAGGGAATTTCAGACCATTTGCCCATTTTACGACAAAAATTGTCTCGATCCTGCAGGATAGAAAAATCGAAGGTGCAGCTCTTTGGCCATTTAGAGCCATTGTCCGGGTTATATTGTGGCCAAGTGGTATTGCAGAAGAAAATAAGACACCTAGGTTTTAGGTCAGGTGATAGATGCTCTAGGGATCGTCCCAACTTGGCCTCCCGATGTGCTGGGATTACCAGTGTGAGCCACTATGCCAGGCTCCCCGCTATGCCAGGCTCCCCGCTATGCCAGGCTCCCCGCTATGCCAGGCTCCCCGCTGCACTCTAGCCTTTTTTTTTGAGGCAGGGTCTCAGTGCCCAGGCTAGAATGCAGCGGCCCCACTGCAGCCTTAACTTACCAGACTCCAGCGGTTCTCCCACCTCAGCCTCCCCAGTAGCTGGGACGACAGGTGCACGCCACCATGCCCAGCTGATTTTTGTGTTTTTTTGTAGTGATAAGGTTTCACCATGTCACGCATGCTGGTCTCAGACTCTTGGGCCTAAGCCAACGGCCTGCCTCTCCCTTCCAAAGTGCTGGGATTACAGGTGTGAGCCACTGTGCCTGGCTGCTCCATATTTTTTTTTTTTTTT